ACAAGATAAGGATATTGAGTACTCAAGATGGAGTCACAATGGCTAAGTTTTTTTGTTAAAGAATTATTTAATTTTACTCATTCATTCATTCATTTTGATATGACCAGAGAGATACACACAGAGAAAGAGAGAGAAGGAAAATGAGAAAGCAAACCACCAGGCGTGGGACTCGAACCATGGTCAACCATGTGGGAATGTCCAGTGCCTTAACCACCATGCCACCTGGTGGCCCCAATGGCTAAGTTTTCACAGCCAAAAGCTTGCTGCATTGGGGCTCAAAGCAACTATAGCTAAGGGCAAGAGTTTCTCTTTAGTAATAATTGAGTTGTCAGAAAAGTCACAACTTTTTCTGAGTAAAAATGTGTCATGACTTTTTCGACCACCAAGTACATTCTAACAAGAAGCACATAACACTATAGTCTGCTGGCCACACTAATAGGTAATAAATCTTTCAGATTACCATGTAACCATTTTCTAAAGCCCACTTCCTTATCACAAAGCCAACCCATTGCTCGGACTGCTAGATGGAAACCCCTCACCTCCAGCTCCTCTTCGGCAACCCATAGGGCCCCCTTCTACTACTTGGAAGCTTCTTCTCCTTCTTTAATAACCTTTGCTTACTATCCTCTCTGTCCATGTCTCCAGTTCTTACTGAGTGCAGGACAAGAACTAGCACAGGTATTGGGTCAGATCACCCAGCACGTCCATGTTAGGAGGAACCATTAACCCCAGTAGAACCAGGATGGTGGGATTAAAGGATGTACTCTAGACGGTCAAGTGGCAAAGTCAAGAATCGAACCCTGATCGGCCTCACTGAAGGCCCCTCATCACAAGAGCCTCCCCCCTGATTTTAAATTTGAAGTGTGTCCTGGCATGTTCAGGGACCAAGGCGACTGAAGCTACACTCTAAACCCCATTTTCTAAACCCCCAAAACACTCACATAGGGTCATTGAAATCTTCAACGCTTACTGAACCTCCCGCCTAAACAAAGAAACCCCTTTCCATAAATCTGAACTCAAAATCTCTTTCTGTGGATACCATGTTGCCAAACACAGTAGAGAGATTTTGTCACAGAATTACCCTACAGTAAAGGGAAGCACATGATCTTACAGTTGCAGAAAACTTTTCTAAGCAATTAGCGAAAAGTGACTTCACTACCAAATGACTAAAATTCAAAGAGAGACTGTGAAGTGAGCAGCAAGGGAGAAGGATGGAACTGCAGAGAGAACGTGGACTCTCTCCTTCCACTAGCCTCTGAACTCTGTTGAAACCCTGCAGCTCAGCCCAGGTGCACCTATTCCCTAGAAACTGAGTGGCCTTTGTAATATCCAGTTTAAAGTCAACAGCGTAGGTTGCTTGGTGAGCATAAGGGAAACAGAACTGCAGAGAGATTGTGGATCATCTCCTCCTGCACACCTCTGAAACTCAGAATTAACTCCCAGAAATTAGGGAGACACATATAATCCATCAGATGACCGGAAACCACCACAGAGGCACAAGAAATATGAGAAACTAAGAAATTTCCTTTCCCCTAAGGGGAAAGAACAATCCTTCATCATTCACAGAGAGTACAGTGGAACTCGTGGAAATGTCAGATAGGGAATTCAGAATATTCATAGTGACAAAACTAAACAAGATACAAGAGCTAAGAGACAGTGAACTTCAGAAGATGCAGGAGGAAAGAGACAATGAGTTCTGGGAGGTGAGGAAGTTCTTGCATGATCTGAAAGAGGAAATATACACCATAAAAAAGAATCAAATGGAGCTGTTAGAGATGAAGGCTGTAATTCAGGAAACCAAAACCTCCCTTGAAAATATTAAAAACAGATTAGTTCATACTGAAGGTCTAATCTCAGAAGTTGGAGACAAAACTTCTGATCTAGAAAAAATAACCAAAAAAAAAAACAAAAAACCAAACCTGAGAAAATAACCCAAAAAGAATGAGAATACTATACGAGAAATACTAGATAGCATTAAGCACCCAAACATCTGGATAATCTGTATCCCAGAAGGTGATAATCTATCCCATGAAATCCTGGAAGAAAACTTTCCAAATTTAGAGAGGCATTCAAATATCCAGACCCAAGAAATACAAGGGACCCCTAATAGAATTGACCCAAGAAGATCTTCTCCAAGGCCCATCATAGCCAGATGGACCAAATTCACAGGAAAAGACAAAATACTAAAATTGACAAGAGAGAAATGTCATTACTTATAATGGTTATCCTATCAGATACAATGCGATCAAGGAAAAAATGGGAAAATATATTCAAAGTGTTAAGTGAAAAACAGTTTCAACCAAGAATACTATACCCAGCAAGATTATCCTTCATATGGGAAGAAAGGATAAAAACATTCTCAGATAAACAAAACCTGAAAGAATCTATCAACACCAGACCAGCCTTTCCAGAAGTTCTGAAAGGAGTGCTTTACCAGGAAAATTAAAGACACACATACAGAAATAAGAGAACAAAAAGCAACCAAGAAAATGACCAACTTAATGCTAGGGATGGGAAGTATCAATAATAACATTGAATCTTACTTTCTAAGATTTAAATGGAAAGATCAGACCACAGTAACACTGAAAATTCAACAGAAGAGAGATGAATTACATGAGACTGAACTGGTGAACTGTAATTTTATGACTTTTGAGTAAAACATCACTGATTTTTTTTTCTATGTTTTGTTTTCCCAGTTTAATGATTTTGCTTTCTTTTGAGCTGTTGATAGGTTCAGCAATTTGTTAAAATATTTTTTTTGTTTATTTCTTTAAATGGAAACATAAACATTTCTTCCTTCCTGACCCCTCTGAATTGGAAAATATTTGGGAGCATTATTAGTTTGTGGCAGAATGGTTATTTGCATAAGTTCCATAATACCTGTTGCCTTGAATTAGAAATTGGAAATAATACTGGACAGGGCTTTGGCTGGAATGTCATATCTGAACTTTAACCTAGAAAACTGTGGAACTTAGATCCCAAGTAAGCCAATAGAAGCTCTTGGAAAGATGGCCTGGCACCATAAATAGCACTGTCTGGCAGAGAGGATTAGAGAAGCCATATGAAAGAATTCATACCATAAAATAACCTGGACTTTCCAGCCCTGCATTGTAGTCAGTAGAGATTGCAAAAAAAGCAGCCACAACTAGAGGATTACCTTGAGGAAGACTTTGAAGGAAGAAAAGTATATTGATCTTATTTGCTAGCAGATGGTACATCACAGAACACTTGGTAGGCAGGGCTGAATTGAGAAGGTTTATGTGTGAATTGTGTGCTGGGTATTTGCTTTTCTTTTCTTTCTTTCTTTTTTTTTTTTTTTTTTTTTTGCCATAGGGCCCGTGGCGTCCCAAGCCGAAG